TATTAAACTATAATATAAAAAGTAACAATACAAAAACTGCAGTGTTCATCGCTCTAATCGACATACTAGCTATATGTCATATTTATTTGCTCCTATAAATATTTTCCAATGCATTTCCACCTGAAAAACCTGTCCGAGAGGCTTAACAGAGACCAAGAAAACAGGCTCACTCCCATGATCACACAAAGGACCACTAATACTATAGAGTCTCTAGACTTGACAGCTCTTTGCAGTTTAGACGGGAAACTCTCTTAGCAATCCATCAGATACTGGACATGTGAGGGATCAAATAGTTTTGTTCTAACGATTTACCTGCGTCACTGCACATCCTTCAAGCTACAAGGCAACAAATGCAAAGTTGTGTTCTGCATCCAATCAGGTTGTAGGCAACATTTGCTTCCTCCAAGCACCTGCTTTCAAACGAAGTGCACATGTGTCATTAGCGTTTCTGTGACATTCTATCCTCAAACTGATTTGAGGAGCTCTGTAATTATCTCTTGCCCAGCTCTGAATGCCTCTGCTTGACTAATGACACATTGACATGGAAATCATATTGAATAATGGGCTTGGAAAGTGGCTGTGGTCAAGAGAGAGAGATGCCACCAAAACATCTTTTTACTCAGCTATTAAATTACAACTCCTACACTGAAATGTAGTTTTCTGTGACGCTTTAATACCTGAGCACTGAATGTCTAGATTCATTGTGAATGTTCAGTGCAACACTGTAATGTTCTTAAAATAATTCTTAGCCAAATAAGTAAATAAAAGACTTTAGTGTTATTGTAAAATGTGTAAATAATCATAATATACAATGGGTGATGTCTCAGGCCATCCAAGATGTAGATGAGTTTGTTTCTTCATCAGAACAGTTTTGGAGAAATGTAGCATTACATCACTTACTCACCAATGGATCCTCTGCAGTGAATGGGTGCCGTCAGAATCAGTCCAAACAGCTGATAAAAACATCACAATAATCCACAAGTAATCCACAACTATTGCTTTCTCCATAATCCATTATTAACTGATGGACTGGAGAGGTGTGGGTTACTTGTGGATTCTTGTTTTTATCAGTTGTTTGGACTCTCATTCTGACGGCACCCATTCACTGCAGAGCATCCATTGGTGAACAATCTGTTCCCATGAAGAAACAAACTCATCTACAGCTTGGATGGCTTGAGGATGAGTACATTTTCAGCAAATTTTCATTTTTGTGAATTTTCTTTTAATGGATCATTTCTAAAACTGAAGGTGACTGGATGACCCATTGCCAGATATTCTTTCAGTCACTGAAGCAGAAACTTCATCAAAAGACCAGACGCTGATTAGAAAACATCCAAACAAACACTTTGCAGAGTTCAGTAGCTTAGTAACAGTGTAAGGTGCACCAGTGAACCATGAAAGAATCCATTACTCAAAAAAAAAAAAAAAGATTTTGGTGCCACTGCGTACAAAGTGCGCCCCCTTGTGTTTTATTAAAATGTTTCTCCAGTTATATATACAGGGCTTGTAAAAGTTATTAATTAAAATTAAACTATATTAAATTTCAATTAAAATTAATTACTAATTAATTTAACTTTCTTTCCTTTTTCAACTTACAGTCCTAAATTATGTTGGGAGACCTATTAGATGTATCATAGGAAAAAAAAATAGTTCATATAATATTTACTTGGCCTCTTGAGGTTAGGATCAACATTTTCAAAACCTCCTTTCAAAAACCATTGTGTTACTTTTTTTTTTTTTTTACTACAAATCCGTAGGAAATTTAAAGAAAACCACGAAACTAAAAGATGCATGATAGATTTAGGTAAAATACGAATGATAAAATAAACTACCGTAATTGACATCTTAAAGGGGTCATATGATGCGATTTCAAGTTTTCCTTTCTCTTTGGAGTGTTACAAGCTG